GAAGGAGAGGGAAGGAGAGAGAGAGAGAGAGGAGGGAGGGGCAGGAGAGGAAGGGAGAGGAGGAGAGAGAGAGAGAGGAGGAGGAGGGGGGGGCAGGGAGAGGGAGAAGGAGATCAGGAGTAGAGTTTCGAGAGAGACTGAGAAGCGAGAGAGAGAGAGTCCTCGGAGAGAGAGAGAGAGAACGGGAGAGAGAGAGGAGGAGAGAGGCGCTCTCCTCGAAACGCGCACGGGAGAGAGAAGGATGATGTTTGGGAGGGGGGACTCAGCACAGATGATGGTAGGAATCAGGGAGGGATGGAGCAAGGGATGAATGGCGAGATGGAGAGATGGAGGGAGACCCAGGGATCCCATCCATCTGCAGCCTGTTGTGTTTTATTTGCCGTGAGCGAAAGGTTGTATTAATTATGGATGTTCAGTGTAATAGCCAGGCTGTTTGTTTAGTATGCCAGCATAATCAGCTGATTTATACTAATGAATGGGATGGAGAAAGGGAGGATGGAGGGATGGATAAGAGATAAATGGATGGAGGGAGAGAAGGGGTGTGGTTCACATGCCCTTAATTCTCTTCTCCAACATGGAACATTTACAAAGGCAGGAAGAGTTAGGGAAGGGGCCGCACCACCAGCACAATTAAATGTTAAATAAAATATAGACTAGAAGATGTTAATTGATCATGGAGAAAGATGGGGAGAGGTGGATGGAGAGAGAGAGGGAGATGGGAGAGAGAGAGAGAGAAATTGAGAAAAAAGAGAGAGCGAGCGAGAGAGCAAGAGAGAGAGAGAGATATGGAGAGAGATATGGAGCGAGGGTAAAGGTGGATGGGGAGAGGGAGAGGGAGGTAATGTATTAGACTATTAGACTCTCAGCAGCTAGCAGAGCTCAGGAACAGCCAGAGGGTTAGGAGCAGTCTGGTCTATAGTGTTAAAAACATCATCATTACACACTCAACCCTATCAGCCTGAAATGTCTTCACTCACAGAGCCAAATTGCTAGCTTTTCGGTGGCGGAACTGGGTAAGAACATTTCAGGGTGGCGGTCAGGTGTGTTTGCAAGGCAGAGGTCCTGGGTTCTAGTCTCAGTGTGAGCTGGAGCAGGAAGAAGTGGTACGGCTAAGAGAGCAGTCTGACGTCCACTACACCTGCATAGAAATACCACGCAAATCATTACAACACAGTTGACCTCAATGCATCCTGGGTGGTGTTATGGCATCTCTCATCAGTCGTGATGGCTAGTGCTGGTGGTGGTGGTGTGTCAGGACAGGTCATTAAGAGACTCTGTCACTGTGTGGTCCCTATCGGCTGTCACTATCTCTTCTGGCCCCTGTAGTGACAGCCTGCCTGGCTGCCTGCCTGGCTGACTGGCTGGCCTATCGATAGGTCTCCCCTGGGCTGCAGAGACATCTATCTTCCCACTGTCTGTGTTGTTAACACACCCGTTACATCCTCATTACCCACATCATTAGGGGAGGTACACACACACCCTTATCCAGGTACACACACACACGCTCGCACACAGACACACACACAGGTACGCTCATGCACACACATATACACAGTGTCACTGACAGACTTACCCAGGCACACTCACATATCTAGGTATACTCAGGCACTTAATACAGGCACAGATGGGGAGGGACATTATGGCCTAACTCACACTCACCACAAGTCGCATCATGTGTCACATGTGCATGCATTCCTATGGGATGGTGCACATACACATACAATGCTGTCACAGTTGGAACAGGAAAAAAATGAAGGAGTCAGTGTTGGAAGGGAGAGAGGGAGAATGAGTCTGGGAGAGGGAGAGAGGGAAGGAGAGAGATGATAATGATGTTGAGAAGGAGGAAGGGAACATAGGAGAAGGAAAATAACAGGTCTGAGTGAGTGAGATGGACGGATGGAGGGAGAGATGGAGAGATGGAGAGATGGAGGGAGACCCAGGGATCCCTTCCCTCTGCAGCCTGTTGTGTTCTATCCATCAGAGTTGCCGTGAGCGACAGGTTGTATTTATGATGGATGTTCAGTGTAATAGCTGTTGGTTTAGTATGCAGGCATAATCAGCTGCTTGATTCACTGGTGCAGGGTGACCCAGATCACACGTGACTGGCTCCCTCTCTCCCTCTCGCCATCTCTTTTTTTCTCTCTCTCTTTTATTGTGGTCCTCTGTAGCTCAGCTGGTAGAGCACGGCGCTTGTAACGCCAAGGTAGTGGGTTCGATCCCGGGACCCAACCAAATGTATGCACCAGATGTAAGTCGCTTTGGATAAAAGCGCGGCTAATGGCATTATTGATTTTATATCTTCTCTCTTTCTTCTCAATCTCCTCCTATAATTCGATTCTATCTTCTCTACTCCTCCTCTCCTCATCATCTCCCTCCTTCCTCCTGTACTCCCCCCTTTCCTCTATTCTCTCCATCTCTTATCCTCATCTTCTTCTCATCTGTTTTCTCCCTCCCTCCCTCCCTCCCTCCCTCCCTCCCTCCCTCCCACTCCCTTCCCCTATTTCCCTGCTCTTTTCTTCTCACTCTCATCAAAAGAAAAGATGAGAGGGAGGTGCCCCTCCTTGAGTGGACATCTTTAAAGAAACACAAAGTAGGGAAGGAGATTGAATCATTAAAGAAGAAACACACCATTTACCCAGCATGTCATGTCCATTTACTGTGTCACTGCCCCTCTCACTCCTCTCTCTCTCTCTCTCTCTCTCTCTCTACACACACACACACACTCGCACACACACACATTCTCTCACACACACACACACACACACACACACACACAACCCCCCACATACAGAACATTATATAACTCCTAGTTATTTACTTGTACATATTTCTAATCAGAATGCCGTCCGATGGGAAATCTCCATATCCTGATCCATTTATACATCCACCACCACCTCCAGCTCCAGCTCCAGCAGGCCGGGGAACGTTCCCTCTCCCCCTCCCCAGCCATGGTAACCCTCTCTGGGCTAGGCTAGCACGGCAGACCAGGCCAGCTCTGGGGATCAGCTGGTGAAGCAGGCCTTTATAATGCCTGTTATTGGACTGGAGGAAATAGATTAACACTTAACACTGCAGTCTGCAGCCCTATAGCCCTGAGGTCCTGGTGACTATGCAATGCTGCACACACACACACACACACACACGTGTGCATACACACACACTCATACAGATAAAGGTAAAGACCTACTGGTTTGAGATCCAAGCTGACAAGTGACCAAACATCTCCGTACTCATACTCTCTCTCTCTCTCTCTCTCTCTCTCTCTCTCTCTCTCCTCTCTCTCTCTCTCTCTCTCTCTCTCTCTCCTCCTTTCCTCTTCCTGCCTCTCCCTCTCTTCTCTTCTTCCCTCTCTATCTCACCGTTCCTCTCCTCCTCCTTCCTCTCCCCCCCCTCCCCCCACCTAACATCTCCTGGCCCCTGTTGACACCACACTCCAGAGCCCCATCTTGGTGTTCTTGTTGTTGCTGCTGCTGTCTGGTTCTGTGTGCCCTCTCACATTGATCTAAATAATAACGGACGGATTTCCAACGCGTTTGATGCCCGACTTCAAAGCCGCTGAGATTATGATTCCGATCACACCGGCGAAGTAAAATGGAATTATCATTGGCACCAGGGAGAGTCGGAAGGGAAGGCCAGGGTGGGCTAGGGTAGAGGTGGGGTGGGGGAATGGAGAGCTCCCTAACACAGAGGGCAAACTAATGGGAGGGAGGGATGGGAGGGAGGGGGAGGGGGGGGGGGGGGGGGGGGGTAGAGAAGGAGGAATAGAAAAGGGTGAGAGTTGTCCTGATGTTGTCCTTTGTAGGTCAGTTGGTAGAGCATTGTAACACCAGGATAGTGGGTTCGATTCCCGGGACCACCCATACATAAAAGCGTTGACTAAATGGCATATATTGTTTATATATTATGAGAGGCAGGAAGGAAGAGGAGAGGGAGGGGATAGAGAGAAGGGTTGCATGGGTTACTTTCTAAATGTAATCAATTACAGTTACTAGTTACATGTCCAAAACTGCAATCAGTAAAGTACCTTTTGGATTACCCAAACTCAGTGATGTAATCTGATTACTTTCCCTTTAAGAGGCATTAGAAGAAGACAAAAATAATTCATTTAACACATTGGTGTGTATCAAGTCTCTGACTTGTGATCAGACTCGCTCAGGTGGAACAAACTTCAACTTGTGCCTTTTTTCAATGCTGAATTGAATGTCATTGAGAAAACAGAAAGGTGTCATAATGTATTTCATTTTGAAAACATCCTTTCTAAATTCAGAAGTAATCCAAGCAGTAATCATCTCGTTTTTCAAATGTATCTGTAAACTGATTACAGTATTTTTGCTGGTAACGTAACTGATAACATATATTATATTATTATTATTATTATTAACATTTTTAAAAATTGTAATGATGGAGAGAAAGGGGGGGAAGACAGCAAGTACATTAGCAGTGTAATGGAGTATCTACATCTTAGGTAACTACCAGTTTGCAGTGATTAACCAATCACACACACACACACACACAAGCACTCACAACAAATATAGGCCTACATAAGGAACCATGGGATAATATTAACGATGTGTATACCTGGATGACTGACAGGGGGCGCCGTTTTGAAGCCACTGCGAAGCCATTTTAGTATCCTCCTCCATCGTAAAAAAACGATTTTGGATGCTATAGAAATGCATTTATTAATGTCTACATTCGTTTTTGCCAAGTATATTCTACTACAGACACCTTAATGCATACTTTTAAGTTATATTATTTGAACTAAACATAAAAAATATATATATACATCAAAACATATTCTTAAAGTTTTTTTTTTAGAGAGTACTAATGTTACTGTCCCAACTACAACAAAAAAAAGACTTAAATACATGTCATTTTGTCCATGAAACATTGGAGAACTGCTCCTTCTCAGGAGTACCAACATGGTGGCGGCTTCAAAGCTCCTCATTGGCCAGTACATTCAGTAGCATCAACAATCCATCATTGGGTAATACAGTAGCACGGACCAATACAGTATAGTAGCCTACATACAGTATTTGTATTTATGGTTCTGAATAAAGTATCCAAGAGCGCCTTCGCGTGGTTGATTACACACGTCGCAGTGGCCTGAAAAGCAACACTGGAGTGTGATGCTGTCAGCCTCTATTACGATCTCAGAGCCGAGGATCCACACGGGGAAAGTGAACTGCGTGTCCGGACCAGAGACTGAACCAACCGAACAGGCCTCTGTCATCTTTCTCATTCCGTCCAAGCCCCTGTCGAAGTCCGACGCACGGTAGGTTACCGTGCTTTTTTACCGTTCTAATCATCATGCGTTTTGCCGCGCCCTGAATAGCGGTCCATCTCTCCCATAATGGGATACGCGTTGCGATTTAGGTAGCATAATATAGCGTGGATGCATAATAGGCCTCTATATTTTCGATAACGTTTAGGAGCCATACATTCATATGTGTTTTTAGTGGTTTGTGGTAGCCCAAGCTTTTACAGCATCATTTCAGATTAGTCTGGTCGTGTCATATGTTGTTTTATAGCCAACAGCACCATCATTCACAACATGAACCAGTTCATATTCATATTGGACTAAATATAAATACACAGGCCTGGTTTATTTGGTTCGTTCTGTTACAGGCAATCTATTAAACCAACTATTTTATTAGGCCTAATACCAATGAATCTAGTTTGTTTTGGGAGTTTGATGTTATCCCTCTTTGTTGTTTACAATTGGAAATTGATGAAACAATAATAAACCGGGGATAATACTACACGATGGCAGCATTGAACAGTCCAGGGGTTCTTTAGAAAATGCATTGTCACTGTTCTCTTAACTCAATTAAACAAATAGGTTGTTGATTTTAGCTTACTTTACAGAGAAAGAGCGGAAGCTGCAAGACTGAAGTTCAAGCTTTTAATGACTATCCCAAGATCCAAAAGCTTTTAACAACACTCACAACAATTAGTATTTATCCTCATGTTTTGTAGGTTACTCTGGTCCTGCACATAAAATGACCCTCCTCTTTGAAGCTCCTTGATTGGCTCCTCCTGACAGAAAATGATGTAATCTGTGATGTCTATGTCAGAATGTGGGAATCTCTGAACTCTGGTCCTTGTTGTTTTTAGGTGTTCACTTTGAGCTCTGCTGAGGGTAGCTGACAGTATTAGACAGACAAACAGGCAGACTGTCCTCTAGCTGCCACCATGGGCTACCTAGCCACCGCTGCCACCCTGCTCTCCTTACTGCTACTGGGAGCTGTGACGGCCAGACTGGACACTAAGAACACCAAGACAGGTAAGGGACCAGGGACACGATGCTGCTGGCTGATGGCCCTGAGCAACATATTTGACATTTTAGTCATTTAGCAGATGCTCTTATCCAGAGCGACTTACAGGAGCAATTGCAGTAGGATTAAGTGCCTTGCTCTAAGGCACATCAACAGTTACTGGCCCAACGCACTTAACCGTTAGGGTTCCTGCCGCCCCCAACAAAAGGGCACAGAGGGACTTTCCTTGGATGGTAATTTTCCCTGGATGGCCAATCCACCCAGTAATGATAATGGATTATTTAGATGGCTCACTGGGTCTCAAAGCACAACATTGAAAGGAGGAACTCACATCCAGTAGACAGGACACTAGGACAGGGAAGGGGCCTGTTTATCCACTAGACAGGACACCAGGACAGGGAAGGCCTGTTTATCCACTACACAGGACACCAAGACAGGGAAGGGCCTGTTTATCCACTAGACAGGACACCAAGACAGGGAAGGGCCTGTTTATCCACTAGACACAGACACCAAGACAGGGAAGGAGCCTGTTTATCCACTAGACACGACACCAAGATAGGGAAAGGGCCTGTTTATCTACTAGACAGGACACCAATACAAGGAAGGGGCCTGTTTATCCACTAGACAGGACACCAAGACAGGGAAGGGGCCTGTTTATCCACTAGACAGGACACCAGCAGGGAAGGGCCTGTTTATCCACTAGACAGGACACCAAGACAGGGAAGGGCTGTTTATCCACTAGACAGGACACCAAGACAGGGAAGGGGCCTGTTTATCCACTAGACAGGACACCAAGACAGGGAAGGCCTGTTTATCCACTAGACAGGACACCCAGGACAGGGAGGGGTGTTTATCCATAGAACAGACACCAGACAGGGAAGGGGCCTGTTTATCCACTAGACAGGACACCAAGACAGGGAAGGGGCCGGTTTATCCACTAGACAGGACACCAGGACAGGGAGGGGGCCTGTTTATCCAGTAGACAGGACACCAGACAGGAATGGCCTTTTCATCACTAGACTGGACACAAGGGCAGGAGGGCCAGTTTATCCATGACAGGACCGGACAGCCTGTTTATCCCTAGACAGACACCAGGACAGGAGGGACCCTGTTTATCCACTAGACGGGACACCAGGGTCGGGAAGGCCTGTTTATTCATAGACGGAACATGGCAGTATCATAGGCCAGCATTACTAGAAACAAAGAATGTTACTATTGTACCATCTTAATCGAGACCCCTTTTTGGGAGGGGGGATCCAACTGGTTTAGGCCGAAGTTAATGAGTAACAAAGAATGTTACTATTGTACCCTACTACATAGATTTGACAGATTTAGGCTGATAATCTGTAACTAACTATTTTCAAATGTGTGACCTAACTATTTAAGTGGAATCAGGTTATATGAAAAAGACACTATCCACTGAGATAAAAAATTGTTATTTTTGTGAATGAGTGTCAAAATTAAGTACAATGACTAAATAGCTTCAACATTGCAAGTGTATCCTATTGCTCCAAATTCTATCTCAGGGCTCCATCTCTCCTTCCTTTACTTCTACCCCACACAGTGTTCCTGGACCAAGGGCCCCCCCACAGGAAGGCCAGTGAGGTGATCACCCTGTCCCGCCAGAAGAGGGCCAACGTGGGCAACGAGGAGAGCCTGCTCCCTGCCAACCTGGAGAGGGAGTGTCTGGAGGAGGTCTGCAACTACGAGGAGGCCAGGGAGATCTTCCAGGACTCCTACCGCACGGTGGGCCAATGCTCCCTTATTCCACTGAGCATACTTCTCTCCTCACACCTCCCTCTATTAGACTCCCTTCTTTCCTTACCTCCTTAATCTCATCCTTCCTTTTCTCACCTCAGACATCCTCTTTAACAACCTCCAAACCTTCCTCCTTTCCTTGCCTCTCCACTCCTCTCCTCTTGTTATCTGTCTTCTTGCTTCTGATGATTCTGTAGACATTTTGAATCAAACTGACAGTGGACTTTGTTTTGATCTTTCAGGATATCTTCTGGTCAGTCTACATAGGTAAGTGTAATGACTTTGCCTGACGTTCTCCTGGAACATATCAGAGTACTTATTCTTTTGGGTTAACACTCAATTCAAATCCATGTGATTTGGTGTCACAGTTAAAATAGCTTCACCCAATAATGTGCGTCTTGTATTAGTGAATGTACCATTTGACTGGCTGTGTTGTTAACTCTGTGTGTGTACAGATGGGGACCAGTGTGCAGAGAAGCCGTGTAAGAATGGAGCCATGTGCTCAGACAGTGTGGGGGGATACGACTGTGTCTGCAAGTCAGGCTTCTTTGGAGTCCACTGCGAGACAGGTGAGAGACATGAAGGACCCAGTTGGTGGGGAACTCATGTTGTAAAAAATTTTTATTTTTATTTTTTATTAAAGTTTCAAAATAACAAATTCAACAAATCCGAAATGATTTGAAATCTGTCTATGTGTCCACTACCTGTGCTGTCAAAATATGAAATATACCTTGTCGTAATCCTCTCATCTCTCCCTCTTCCCCCTCTCTCTCCCCTTTCTCCCCTCTCCCCCTTCCTCTCTCTCCCCCTCCTCTCTCTGTGTGTGATTGTAGATCAGACAGTATGTATGTTGGATAAGACCAAGGGATGCAGTCAGTTCTGTAAGCCAGGATACCAGTCCTATGAGTGTTCCTGTGCCCGTGGCTGGAAACTAGAGGAGAAGGAGAGGGTGAAGTGTATTCCTGCAGGTCAGTGACCATATACCTGCTTCAATACTATTATGCTATACTATACTATGCTATCCTATCAAATCAAATTTTATTGGTCACATACACATATTTTGCAGATGTTATTGCGGGTGTAGTGAAATGCTTGTGTTCCTAGCTCCAACAGTGCAGTAGTATCTAACAATTCACAACAATACACAAATCTAAGGGTAAAATAATGGAATTAAGAAATATATAAATATTAGGACGAGCAATGTCGGAGTGGCATTGATTAAAATACAGTATATACATATGAAATTAGTAAAACAGTATGTAAACATTATTAAAGTGACTAGTGTTCCATTATTGAAGTGACCTAAGGTGCAGGGTTGAGTAACCGGGTGGTAGCCGGCTAGTGATGGCTATTTAACAGTCTGATGGCCTTGAGATAGAAGCTGTTTTTCAGTCTCTCTGTCCTAGCTTTGATGCACCTGTACTGACCTCGCCTTCTGGATGATAGCGGGGTGAACAGGCCGTGGCTCGGGTGGTTGATTTCCTTGATTATCTTTTTGGCCTTCCTGTGACATCGGGTGCTGTAGGTGTCCTGGAGGGCAGGCAGTGTGCCCTCAGTGATGCGTTGGGCAGACCGCACCACCCTCTGGAGAGCTCTGCGGTTGCGGGCGGTGCAGTTGCCGTACCAGGCGGTGATTCAGCCCGACAGGATGCTCTCAATTGTGCATCTGTAAAAGGTTTGTGAGGGTCTTAGCCTCCTGAGGTTTGAAGAGGCACGGTTGCGCCTTCTTCACCACACTGTTTGTGTGGGTGGGACCATTTCAGATTGTCAGTGATGTGTACGCCGAAGAACTTTAAGCTTTTCATCTTCTCCACTGCGACCCTTCAATGTGGATGGGGGCGTGCTCCCTCTGCTGTCTCCAGAAGTCCACGATCAACTCCGTCGTTTTGTTGTCGTTGAGGGAGAGGTTATTTTCCTGGCACCACTCCGCCAGGGCCCTCACCTCCTCCCTGTAGGCTGTCCTCGTCATTGTTGGTAATCAGGCCTACTACTGTTGTGTTGTCTGCAAACTTGATGATTGAGTTGGAGGCGTGAGTGGCCACGCAGTCATGGCTGAACAGGGAGTACAGGAGGGGGCTGAGCATGCACCCTTGTGGGCCCCTGTGTTGAGGATCAGCGTAGTGGAGGTGTTGTTTCCTACCTTCACCACCTGGGGGCGGCCCGTCAGGAAGTCCAGGACCCAGTTGCACAGGGCGGGGTTCAGACCCAGGGCCCTGAGCTTAATGATGAGCTTGGAGGGTACTATGGTGTTGAAGGCTGAGCTATAGTCAATGAACAGCATTCTTACATAGGTATTCCTCTTGTCCAGATAGGATAGGGCATTGTGCAGTGCAATGGCGATTGCATCATCTGTGAATCAATTGGGCGGTATGCAAATTGAAGTGGGTCTATGGTGTCAGGTAAGGTGGAGGTGATATGATCCTTAACTATCCTCTCAAAGCACTTCATGATCACAGAAGTGAGTGCTACGGGGCGGTAGTCATTTAGTTCAGTTACCTTTGCTTTCTTGGGTACAGGAACAATGGTGGACATCTTGAAGCAAGTGGGGACAGCAGACTTAGATAGGGAGAGATTGAATATGTCCATAAACATTCCAGCCAGCTGGTCTGCGCATGCTCTGAGGACGCGGCTAGGGATGCCGTCTGGTCCGGCAGCCTTGCGAGGGTTAACACGCTTAAATGTCTTACTCATGTCGGCCACGGAGAACGAGAGGCCCACAGTACTTGGCAGCGGGCCGTGTCGGTGGCACTGTGTTATCCTCAAAGCGGGCGAAAAAGGTGTTTAGCTTGTCCAGGAGCAAGACGTCGGTGTCCGCGACGTGGCTGGTTGTCCCTTTGTGATCCGGGATTGTCTGTAGACCCTGCCACATACGTCTCGTGTCTGAGCTGTTGAATTGCGACTCCACTTTGTCTCTGTACTGACAATTTGCCTGTTTGATTGCGTTACGGAGGGAATAACTACACAGTTTGTATTCAACTATATTCCCAGTCATCTTGCCGTGGTTAAATGCAGTGGTTCGCGCTTTCAGTTTTGCTCGAATGCTGCCATCTATCCACGGTTTTTGGTTTGGGTAGGTTTTAATAGTCACAGTAGGAACAACATCCCCTACACACTTCCTGATGAACTCAGTCACCGTGTCCGAGTATACGTCAATGTAATTCTAAGAGGCAACCCGGAACATATCCCAGTCCGCGTGATCAAAACAATCTTGAAGCATGGATTCCGATTGGTCAGACTAGCGTTGAATAGACCTTAGCACGGGTACTTCCTGTTTGAGTTTCTGCCTACTGGAAGTGAGGAGCTATTCTGTACTGTATTATGCTATGCTAGTTCTAGCCTCATACAAACCATCCTGATCTCGTTAGCTTACATTCTGTTTTGCTACACGGATAGTGAAACAGAATGTAAGCTTGCGAGATGAGGATGCTTCGTACGAGGCTAATGCTATCCTATACTAGATACTAAACTGTACTATACAGTACTGTACTAAACTATACTCTGTAATTCTCTCCATCCCTCTCTCAGTGACATTCCCCTGTGGGAAGGTGAACAGCCTAAGCCAGTGGACAAAGAGACAGTCAGCCAACATCGCCAGCAACTTTGAGGGACTCGCCTGCAACTCTGGAGAGTGTCCCTGGCAGGTAGGAAAACACACACCACTATGAGGTACACACACACACAAAGCTAGCACTGTCAACTGGCAGGCAGTATTCCGCTCTCAAATTCATTTTTCTCAGAAGGTCAACCCCTCACTACCAAAGCTACAGCACATTAACCCAATATTCCCATAGGTGTGATAATGTATTTTGCTGTGTCATCTCGGCTGTATGCTGTAACTGTGGCATTGTGTTGTCATTATGCAGGCCATTCTGAAGAGTGCAGAGTCTGTAGGGTTCTGTAGTGGTGTCATTCTGAAGGAGAACCTGGTTCTAACTACAGCCCAGTGTGCCCAGAAATACATCAACTTCCAGGTGGCTGTCGGTGAGTGATCATCATGGGGCATCATGTCCAGTCTATGGGCTCAGGCTCCACTGGTGGTGGAAGTGGTGTGTGTGTGTGTGAGAGAGTATGTTTTTGATTTGCTTTATAGTATGTGTTCCTTCATTGATTTGGAGTACTTCCTCCCTACCCTCCCAGGCAAGCGCCAAACCGCATCTGAAGACGGCGAACAGACGATGTATGTCAAAGTCGTCCACGTCCACCCCCGTTATGTACCCGGTCACCCTGACAACGACCTGGCCGTCCTCGAGCTCCGTGAGCGCATCGTCTATAAGAAACACGTGGTCGCTGCCTGCCTGCCTGAACGCGACTTCTCAGAGGTCGTTCTGATGACCGGCGAGTACCCGGCAGTGGTCACTGGCTGGAAGGACCCTGTGGACGCCACGGAGGTCCAGGGCCCGCTCACTCTCAACCACCTGGCATACGAGCGTCTGCCCCAGTGTGTGGAGAGGCACCCAGGGTTGGTCACCAACAAGATGGGTTGTACGACAGTAAGACCCAATGGTGACTGCATCTTGGGGCCGGGGAGTCCCATCCTATCTCTCCACAGGGAGGTGTTCTATCTGACCGGGGTGGTCTCCAGACCAACAGGGGCAGACTGTCGTCAGGGTTACATCTACCAGAAGGTGTCCCGCTTCCTGCTTTGGCTGCAGCCCCTCATGGACTCACGCTAAGGGGGCTCTGAATCCCAACTCAACCCCTAGCCCCCACCCCCTATGCATTAGGGTAGATCTGAGAGGATTGGAAAGATGTCCTTTAAGCTATATGGCGGCAATTCCCGTCTGGCCTATCAGAAGGCCAGATGGAGCTACCATCATATTGCTTATACCAGTCCAATCCTTTCAGATCTATGTAAGTGCTTTGTGGGTAGAGACTATGAGTTGATTTGGGATTTAGGGGTGGTGATCAGGGGGATGGAGGGTACAGGGAAGAGAGGGAGAGGTTGAGGGGGTTAGGAGAATACGTGTGAGAATTGATGGTATTGGACAAAGGCGTAAATGGATAGGGAAGAGAAGACAGGGAGAAGGGAGGTGAGGATATTGTAATACTGGATAGAGGTGGAAAGGGATAGGGGTTGTGGGAGGAGAAGAGGAGGGAGGGAAGAGAGCTGAACAGGAGCATGATGAAGGACTGAAAACACAAGGTAAACGGAGGGCCAGAGAAAAAGGGGGAAATTGAGATGTATTCCTTTTGTGTAACATACATAACTCTTATCTTAGGTCTTTTTTCATGGGAATGGTCTGGTTTTCCATATGGCTGATGTCCTTTCCTTAAATTATTCCTTGTCATTTAGGCCTATAAGTTGAATTCCATATAGAATATGAGTTCTATAAAAAAAAAAAAGTGGTATTGTTGTCACCAGGGTTGTGTTCATTAGTCACCAAATGGAAGAAAATTGACTAAAACAGAGAGGGTTTACCTGGATCTGTCCTTTATGAACTGCCATTTTCAAAAACGTTTGCACGTTGTGTGCCCTTATGCAGTGGTTCCCAACCAGGGGTACTAGGACCCCTGGGGGTACTTAGCCTATCCACAGGGGGTACTTGAGAAGACTCATGAGACCATAGGCTTACTGGTCAAATGCACTTGCAGGGGTAATTCAGGGGTACTCTAGGCAGAGCAAAATTCTGTTGATGGCACAGTAAGTGAAAAAGGTTGGGAACCACTGCCCTAATGAACATAACCCATATCTGTGTAGTTCTCTGTTTATCCCGCAAGGTGGCGGTCTTTCATTAAAATACCATTGTCTCATGTCCTACCAAATATAGTACCTGGCTGACTGCAGCTAGACTAGGGGAACGTTAAATAATGCAGCATGTTGTGTTGCTCTCGTCTTACTCTTAACTGATGTTATTTTTTTTGGGGAGAGAAGGGTTGGTAATTGCACTGTATACCTTTTAATGTTAGTCACTTTACTAAGAATGTATTAATAAAAGTTAACCTCTGATCTGGTGTCAGTTGAATGAATTACTGAGGAATATGGGTCGATTGAAGAGAAAGAAGAACAAAAGAGAGGGAAGACTCCACATGTTTACAGGTCTACTCTCAAGTCTGGTCTGCAGGGCATTAACAAACATTTGCTTCAAAGTAAATGTGTCACAATGACGACGTGCAAAATGACGACGTGCAAAGCCATCTATAACTATGTAATGCCGTCAACTGTAGCCTACTTTGATCTCCAGCACCTTCTCAAAGCTCTTAGATGGATCAGAACCACTGCTTTTCCTTGTGGTGTAAATTACTTTCACTAGCATGCCGAGAGCAATCTAGCAAGAAGCAGGAGACTCACGCAGACAGATTTGGTGATCTTATCTGTAGTAGCTGGGATTTGAGTCTAGAATGATCACATCTACTCCCACTGCTACAGACACTACATCAATGCTACATTTCACTATTGTGCCCAATATCAAGCTACCATCACAGCCACATTCACCCTAGCGTTGTTTGGCAACATTTTCCCACAATCCATTGCAAAGACACTACTCTCCATCTTCTCACAGCCTCCTTGGCGACCTCGGCCTGGTCCGGGGCAGCTGCCAGCCTCCTGTGTCACCCAACAAAGAGAGGCGGAGCAAGGGGAGAAAGAAAAAGAAAGAAAGGAGAGACGCCGATAACAGAACCTTTCCTGACACTTTTGATCGGGCACTTGAAAAGGGAGTCGGAACGCCCCTGCCAAAGCCTGGGGGCCCTTGCCGCTTTGGGGCCCTGGTTGCCATGACATTCTCCTAGGAGATGGCTCCTGGCTCCAAGATATTGCCCCCAGCTCCTTTAACTCCTTTAAGCCTCTGTCCAATAGAGATGAATTTGAGTGGAGCTCTTTCCTTCCTGTGCCTGGCCTCGTGTCCTGGCCCTGCCACATCCTTTCGCACTGCAGCCCTGAGACAAGCACACCAGTACTTCCCAGCACTGCAGGGAAATGGGCAATATGTAGAAAAAACTAGGAGGATACACATCAGTGTTGCTAGATTTAATTGGCACTTTCATGCCGAAACTGAGCAAAACTCCCACCAAATCTACTATAAGGCTGCGTTCAAACAGGCAGCCCAATTCTGATCTTTTTTTCACTAATTGGTCTTTTGTAACAATCATATCATCTCTGAGAAAGATCTGATGTGAAAAAAATCTGATGTGATTGGTCAAAAGACCAATTAGTGGAAAGAATATCAGAATTGGGCTGCCTGTGTAAATACAGCCGAGAGAGAGAGAGAGAGAGAGGAGAGATAGAGAAGAGAGAGAAGAAGAGAAGAGAGAGAGAGAGATAGAGAGAGAGCGAATGCAGAAGAGACAAGAACTCAATTCAGTTTCTCTCTGAGACAGGTAGAGGAGGGTGGAGAAGAGAGATTAAGGGAATGAGACTCTGGAAGGGAATTGACTCATTGGTTTGATGAAAAGAAGGAGGAAAGTAGAGAGAGACTGATGAGGAAGAGAGGAAGTGAGATGGAGGAAATGAGAGAGCCTTTATTGAGTGAATGAGGGAAGTGAGATGGACAGAGAGCCTGTATTGATGACAGAGGAGTGAGAATGGAGGAACATGAGAGAGCCTGTTATTGATGTGACAGAGGGAAGGTGAGAATGGAGGAACATGAGAGAGCCTGTTATTGATGAGAAGGAGAGGAGAAGTTGAAGATGTTATGAGGAGGCATTTGAAGAAAGAGACATGTATTTGATGTGACAGGGGAAGTGGAAGGAGAACAGAGAGAATCCTAGTATTGAATTGACAGAGGGAAGGTGAGAATGGAGGCAACATGAAGAGCCTGTTATGAGTGACAAAGGAAGAGAATGTGAGGAACATGAGGGAGACCTTGTTATTCTAAATGTGATCTAGCCCATGGACCTAGTGTGCAAAGAGACACATGAGAGAGCCTGTAATATGCTGTGAATGAGGGGTGAGATGGGATGTAGGCTGTATTTGACAGGGCTGTAAAAGTAGTGCACTGTATAGGGAATAGGGTGCCATTTCAGGACAAAGCCAGTATCTACATAGTGGTACTCAACTTCAGAGAGAGAGAGTGTAGGGATAATGTGTAGGTTGGTGGTCTATCCTGTCGGTGTACTTAACTATAAATCTGACTGCTGCCCTACAAAACTGTAATCCACTAGCTACCCCATAACACCCTGTACTAGCCACATGCTGTGACCTCAAATCCACCATAACTCCTGCTGAGGATATGATGGGGTGTGAGAGTGTGTGTGTGTATGTGTGTGTGTCTTGGGGGGCTCGGGGTAACATCAAATGACCGTGTCTTTCGTAAGGATTATCTGTCTGCAATATGTCTGAGCCTGTGTATAGGGTCATATGTCAGAGAGTGAAAGTGTGTGTGTGTGTGTGTGTGTGTGTGTGTGTGTGTGTGTGTGTGTGTGTGCATGCATGCGTGCGTGCATGGGCATGGGTCTGTGTTGCCTATCCGTGTGTGTGTGTGCATGTGTTATAATTGAGGGGCAGTAGTCTATGATGGCATATCTATGATTATACCATAATCCCCATCTGATATCCCCTCCCCCCCCCCTCTTTCTCTCCATTCCTGCTCCAACCAACCACCCAGCCCCCCAACCCAGATTTCTCACTCTATGCCCAGAGATAATGCTCTCCACTGGGCCGGGTGGTGCAGGCTGAGGCCCACCTCACATGGAGCCCCATGGATGCCAGACAGCGTCAGCCTCCACTTGGCTGGGTAATTGTGCAGCAGTGTGGAGGTAACGCTGCTCCTCCAGGGGCAACCGCCTGGGACTGAGGTTGGGCTGGGGGAGAGTTTTTATTTCAAAACTGCAGACGCAATAGCTGTTTGAAAACGGAAAATATATAAATAAAATATTTTAGAACTGCAGACGCAGATGAAGGCTTCTCCTTTGCAGAGAGAGAAAGAGAGAGAGAACGAGAGAGAGAGAGAGAGCGAGAGAGAGAGAGAGAGAGCAGTCGATTATGTTTTTATGCAGGCCTACTAGACTTTTACATTAGTCATAACTCAATCGGTTAGTCACACAATCACACAAACCACAACACACACACATGCCCTGATCTTCAGTATATAATGATTGATCACATTCAAGTCAAGTGTATAATTGATCCTACCGAACATGACGCACGCAATCCAATCACTCAGGAGGATACATCAAAACAGTGTTGTCACCTGTCCCTATCCAGGCCTCTGATTGGATGACGTTGAACAGTAAATCCTGAGTTGGCCTTTGTTCTGCTAACCTGTCCATGACCCAACAAAGGGTTAGTGGGTTAAGACCCCATTCAGCCCCATAGAGCAACCTGAGCAGTTAACAGATAACCATTTTCATGGCTCTGTGAAGGAAGATAGAATGTGCTGGGGTCCATGTGGTTGCTTTTGAAGAGGGACAGATTAAGGTTGTGTGTGTGTGTATTCATGTGTGTGTGTGTGTGTGTGTGTGTGTGTGTGTGTGCATGCAAAGTGTGTGTGTGTTACTCCCTGCCTGTGTGTAGATCTACAGGTAACTGCCAAAATAAAGGAAACACCAACATAAAGTGTCTTAATAGGGCGTTGGGCACCACGAGTCAGAACAGCTTCAATGCGCCTTGACATAGATTCTACAAGTGTCTGGGACTCTATTGGAGGGATGCGACATCATTCTTCAACGAGAAATTCCATCATTTGGTGTTTTGTTGATGGTGTTGGAAAACACTGTCTCAGGTGTCGCTCCAGAATCTCCCATAAGTGTTCAATTGGGTTTAGATCTGGTGACTGAGACACACACTTTAAAACCTTATGCTCCTTAGAGACCCCTCTTTCAAAGTCACGGAGATCCCTTCTTCTAGCCATGGTCGCCAAAATAAGCATGATAGGATGTTAATTCCTTAATTAACTCAGGAACTACACCTGTGTGGAAGCACCTGATTTCAATATACTTTGTATCCCTCATTTACTAAAGTGTTTCCTTTATTTTGGCAGTTACCTGTACATCGCCACATAATGAGGTCACACTCAGCTGACCTTTAATGTATGCCATTAGCATCAGAGGGCAGGCCTCCCCTAAAGGTCACGACCTCTCTGTCCTGGGCAGCGACAGCCGGAGGGCTTACGTCACCATGGTGATAAGGCCTGTAGAATGGGCTGGAGCTTCACAGACAGATGATGTCAGGATAATCCCTGTTCTTACCCCGTAGCCTGGGTTACGTTACTTACCTCAATCAGAAAGTCAGCACATTTCACCTGCAGGGAGAAGGAGAAAACCACAGGACAGGACACACTGTTTGTTTGTTTGTGTGTGTGTGTGTGTGTGTGTGTGTGTGTGTGTGTGTGTGTATGTGTAACCTTGTCCCCAGGCTAAATGCTACCATATATAGAGAGAGATCTGGCTGGTGAAGGAGACTAGTGTGTGTTTAATAGCTTGTGAAAATGAATGACGAAGAGGAACTTGGAGGACAATACAATTATTTTCTATTCTAGAACATAGAATGAGAGCTGTACTGTATATGTGTGTGTGTGTATGCATTTTTGTGTTTATGTGCTCATGCGAGTAACTGACCTTTCTTTCTTGCCAAAAATGCCTTAACAGCCCCTCTTCCATGTCCTTCCACTGTGTTTAGGAGGAGTGAGGATGTCATGTCCTTCCACTGTGTTAAGGAGGAGTTGGGATGTCATGTCCTTCCACTTTGTTAAGGAGGAGTGGGGATGTCATGTCCTTCCACTTCATTAAGGAGGAGTGGGGATGTCATGTCCTTCCACTGCATTAAGGAGGAGTGTGGATGTCATGTCCTTCCACTGTGTTTAGGAGGAGTGGGGATGTCATGTCCTTCCACTGTGTTAAGGAGGAGTGGGGATGTCATGTCCTTCCACTGTGTTTAGGAGGAGTGGGGATGTCATGTCCTTCCACTGTGTTTAGGAGGAGTGGGGATGTCATGTCCTTCCACTGTGTTAAGGAGGAGTGGGGATGTCATGTCCTTCCACTGTGTTAAGGAGGAGTGTGGATGTCATGTCC